TACAAAGTTTCATGTGAAGTTCATTATTTTGCAGTAAACATTTTATTATTTCAAATTCTGTCTGTCTGCAACTTGATAGACTGTGGTACTTTAGATGTGTTGTGTCGAAAGAGTTACAATGATTAACTGTCGTTGAAATTTATGTGAATTTCCCATTGACTGATTATGGTTGAACTGAATAGCTTAGCCTGTGTTACCACACAATGATCAATGCGAAATTTACCTCAGCATAAACAAATATTAGCTGATAGCCTTCTTCCCAAGAACTGGTTCTCGTCGCTATTGCGATCTTGTGGATAACGTTTTGGCATTTGGAAGAATGAATGAGCGCTTACGTGTCTATGTAGAGAAACACGATCTCTCAATAGGGGATGTAAGTACATCCACTTGACGAGTCTCAAATAGAAGGATACTCATAACCTAGATTCCATCCCTAGCTACTACCAACCAAATAACATGGCTTAGTGGTCTACAGCGTCGGTGGTATAGCAGTTAGGACGCTCGCCGACCATGCACATGGTCCGGGGTTCGATTCCCGGCGACGCACTCCTTTACCTCGCTGAGCCAGAAATAATGGTGGTAAAGAGGTAAGGTTGGGCATGAGGCTAGCAACCCCATCCTGTAAAATAAACACTGCTACAGAAACTTCAAGCCACTAGCTTGAAGCCCTATGTTCCACTGGGGAACGTGAAGGAAAAAAATGGTCTACAAGCTTGCTGACCTTGTAACCAGAAAGTCATGGGTTCGAACCCCGTGTGGTGGGTGCGTACTGCTGAATAGTTCCAAACTCGGTTGGCGAAACAGCTATCCAGTACTGCCAGCTTGTTTTCCAATAGTGCTCTAACCAATGTCAGCTGATGGTGAAATCCTGTAATCAATCAATCAAATCGCTACAAACCAATACTTGAACATGATATTTATTTATCTTTAGATAATGTTAAAGCCTGTGTACTGGAAGCCACTATGTCAGCAGAGATCGAACACTTCAGTCTGGTATAATCAATCACCGATCTTAAATTTTTAAACAGGTTCGTTTTGTGGTTATTGACTGAACTGCGTGAAACAGATGGGCAGGTGTTGATATATTAGAGGCTGAGGTTACAGTTTACAGATGAAATGCCTGAACGTAACATCATTTGAACTATTTACTCCGATGCTGTATACTAATAAATAATTGATATACTTAGTTCTGTACCATGCATCATGCATCACCTTGAATTGTGTGAATAACGAATCGTGACTCAACACAAAGGTAGCAAATTTAATTCAATGAACAGTCAGTTCACCCATGAAGCTAACCAGAATTTGGGCACTTCGAAATGATTCAGCCTTCTGAGGTGTTTCAAAATCAAGTTACACAGTTGGATAAAAACACGCGAATCAGAATCAGAGAAGACTACATATTTTGATTGGATGCTAGTAAGTAGTGCCTCCAACCATACAATATCATCAAATCAATGTAAACCGTGATAGCGAGCTACCCAGAATGGTGGCCACATTGCAAACCTAACTGATAGAATTCAGTCTGCACCAAACAAAGGACTAGACACGTCACACTAGTTACTAGTGTCCAATCAAAATACCCACTACAGTCCTGCTGGAGATCGATCACGAGCCCAAATCGCTCAGTGGTAACGTCTCTGACTGACTGCACCACTGGGTGACACGGAATCGAATCTCAGAAGGGACATGGGTTCCTTCAAGGTTGGAGATAGGCCTTGCTGACTGGTGAATGCCGACTATCACGAAACCTAGTTCAAGCAAGGCTTCCTGTGTCCGATTGCCTCAAACTATCTAAAATCATCAAGGCTACTTATTACCATTAGTTTGCAGTAACATGAACCATAAATCCATGATATCTGAAAAACTTGACGTATCTCACCCTCACATTAGGTCAACAGCAGAACAGAAATGTGACAACCATTTCAACTTTCTGGATCCTACCATGAAATGAAGAAGTAATCGAGTGAATCTGAGGAAAAATCTTTATCTTTAGAGAAGAAACCAAGAGTTGTCTTTACTAAAACATCCACCATTTAGTTTAAAATGGAATCGGGTATAAACGTTCTTCATCACAGCAAGCGAACTACAGACATATAACTAGTTCGCAATTAGTGATATGTATCTAATGTACAGTGAATATCCTGGAAAGTTTATGATGAAGAAGAACTGAGACCGACGTTATTATCGTAATTCGCGATACGCTTACGATAGCATGCAATTCCCGATTTCAGTAAATTTATGATATGTCACCACAACCATTGATTGTAGATAACAAGCAAATCTTCCGACACCTGGTAGACTATAACTTCTTGTTGGATTTTAAGTAATTGAATTTAAAGTGTATCTCTAATTTCCGGTGTATTAATGTTGGTATGATGAGAAGCAAATTTTAGCGAGTTATGCTGCTTAACATTAACAAGAGCTGCCTTCGGTGACTTCGTACTGAAGATGAAATGACCAGTCGGCCAGAAAGAATTAGGAATAAGAAACTCTAGCTGGCAACAAACTAACCAAGAACCAATCGTTTAACAAATATTTAGGATAAATTGAATGTGGACCGGGCATACATTAGGGAGGCCATCGAATGACATCACACTCCAGGCCGCTGCCCGAATGGAATCTAAATTAGGAGCGACGAGTGGGTCGTCCTAGGGTGACAAGGAGGAGATGAGAGATTATGGGAAATCGTGGACCCAACTGAAGAGGACGGTAGAAAATAGAAGAAATTGGAGACGTGTTGTTGAGGCCTTATGTTCCACCCAAGGAATGACAGTAGTAATAAAATACTGCTTAACATACAGCTAAGATGTCTCAAAGATAGTCACGACTAACCTTAAAAGCACTCATACGATAGTAAAATAGCAGCCAAGCGTAAACCCTAAAAGAATATACTTAGTTGTCTGCATTTATATTGAAAGTATCTAACATAAAATAAAAATATTGAAATGTATAGATCTGCAGATAGCGCAGGACCAATTAAGTTACACATGGAAGTTATTCACAGATCTATGTTACTCCTTAGCTTGGAAATGTTTTGAGAGAAGAATGATTTGTTTCTAGGCAAGTTTGTATCCCTCATCAATCGATTATTTTGGGCTGAGGGGCTCAATCTCTCCTTACATGTCGACTCCCAGTACCGACGATGTCTAAAGATTAACATAATGTTATTTGAGTTGACAGTGATTGCTAGTGGAATCTAGAATGCGTATTCTGTTCTACTCTGGACTGGTCTTCTGAGTGTATTTAGTGTATTAAGTGAAAGATGAAGTTCCCAGCAATTCAAACACCAAACCATCATCCTTTAGACCAAGAGGGCCATAGAAGCCACCTCCTGTGGGACAAGTGTTGGCTATTACTTGTTTTCGGCCTAATTTACACTTCCCACTGATTTATTCTGTTGGAACAAAACGCTTCAGATGACCAATCTCGAATAGGATTCTACGGTTAGTCACTATCACTCAAAACTAATATTACGTTACCTTTCAGAAATCGTCAAAGCATCAACAGAGGTCAAGCATTTCGGTTCAGCTCAGTCAATCAACAAGAAAAGCAAATTAAGTCAAAAAGGCAAAGAAAGAAAGAGAAATTATGAGAGTTGCTGACAACTTACCAATTATTTCCCCAGTCATGAAAAATAAGCATAAAATACTTGCTAAAATTAGTTTTTTCCTTGCTTTTAGATCAACTTTTGAACCAGCAGTGAAGTTTTCATGACAGTGGTCACCTGTTGAAGAAAAAAAAGAAGGAGATAAAATTACCGAATATCAGAAAATTGAGAAACATATAAGAATGAGATAAAAGCAATATTTAGTGTAAGTGTAGAATGGGGGCAATGTGGTGAAATGTAATTCAATATTATATAAGTTAGTTTTATAGGATACATGGTGGTAGCATTGATATGGTTATAAATAATAAACTGTGTTCGAAACGCCATCCAGCAATCGATACTTGTGTGTTATTTAACACGAGAACACAATATTCAGCGAACAGACCCTTTTCAATAAATCTGTTATCAGGCTGTATGGTTAACCTAACTGATTTATTGACCGGATGACGAAAGATAAGCAATCCAAACTTGTCACCGACTCAGTTCCAAGGGAAATCATATTCCCAAGCTTCAGATTCAAAGGACATCAAGCCTCACAGATATTTTCAGAAATCTTCTATCCAAATCAGTCAGTAAGGCGTGCTTTGCTACAAAATTACAAATGAAGTTCATCGGCCGTAAGTTGTTCCCCATCTCTTTAAAAGATAAGCTCCATCATCTGGCCACCTCCATGTACACTAATCAGTTCACTTGCTGTTGTGAAATAAAGTACATTAGCCATAGCCAGAGAATGCTCTCCACACGAGAATATATTCCAGTATGATTTTATAAGGGAGAAAGGAAGGGTGCGAGAAACTGAATTCTAGAATACTTAACTGACTTCTGTCACTTTTTTAACCCTGGTCATGATTTTAAGATCATCTGTCGAATTCATGCTAAACTGCCAAAAAAGGAAAGCAATCCACTTTACTAACTATTTAAACATGAGATCTTGACATCTAGCCTGTGCTTAGGTTAATTATACCCACAGTCCCTGAAGAAGAATACAAATACTTGTAATCATTTAGAAAGAGAAGAAAATTTAGAAATGTTAACAGAATCCTCAAAGTTCACTTGTTCTGTAGACGAAAGTATCAAAGCTGAGAGGCAGAATGCTCCAGAACCCAGGCCTATAAACAATAGCAGTTTATACAATTCACATTTCTCTTACGAAGTCAGACTTTCTGTCAGAGAATACAACATAAGAGTTTAGACTATCAGAGGTGTTCAGTAGCCCTCATATTCGCGTGAAATATAAAATCCTACACAACTCTCTGAATAATTACGGGCATAAAACAAGGTACACATGCTACAAAGTAGTATATATAAAATGAATGCATGACGATATATACTACTGACAGGCTGATTTGAGTAGGTGTTAAACACAGTGCTTGCTAGACACATCTAAGTAATCTAAATAATAAATATATAGTGATCTAAACAATTTCGGTTTTTAAAGAAAAATGTGGTGAAAATTCAGCTCGAACTATGTAATCTGAAAGTCATAAATTAGTTTACAAATTATGAATTTGACACACAGGATGAACCTCTCTTTGAATCAATTCTAAAAATAATAAACAACATAAGGTATCCATACGACCTCCAAGGAAACCAGTACAACTGCAGGAACTGTAAACGACTTCAGTTATTCGTAGATAAAACACATTCAGTTCCCATGAAACTGAAATTATTCAGAAATATTCATAAAACTATTAGGGATGACACATCTCCGAATCTGTGTATGTAAAATGGAGTGGAATGTACGTAAATTGAAATGAGTGTAGGGAGAGTGCCATCAAACATAATATGATCTGGTTCCAAGTCACTCTGATGAAGTAATTTTATCAGTTGACATCCAATAAAAGTTGAACTGATATTATTATTATTATTTCCTTTAATTCCTAGAGGAACATAGGGATTCAGCAGTGCGTCTCCACTGCGTTAGGTTCTCTGGCTCCAAGTCTGCCCACACGTTTTCATCTCCTCTTCACATGACCTCCTCCAAGTCACCCTTGCACTGACGACCAACTCGCCCCTTCCCTTTCGGGTTCCACTCGAGCGATGGCTTGTCTAGTGATGTCACTTGATGGTTTCCTCAGAGTATAGCCTATCCATTTCCATCTCTTCCTGTCTATTTGTTTCACAATCGGTTCCTGCTGTGTTGGTTCCCTCATTGCCAGAGATCTCTGTTGCTGATCTTTACTGACCGGCCATCTGATCTTGAGTATTGAGCGAAGACAACTGTTAATGAGGGTCTGTAGTTTGTTTGAGATGCTCTTCATGACGCGCACTGCAAGTCTCCGATCCGTATAGTGAGTAGCACTGACTGACTTCACATTGGAGTTGAAAATGCGGATCTTATTTTTGATGCTGAGTGTTGTTGACCTCCACTCAGACTTGAGAGTAGTGAAAGCTTGTCTTGCTTTCCTATCCTTGCTTTGATATTCTGATCAGTTCCATCTGCCTGTAGTTGAAACGATGCTTCCAAGGTAGTTAGTAGGTCAAGGAGGTTACTTCTTTCAGGTTTCTCCCATTTATGCTGGCTGATTGTTGTGTGTTGTTGTTGTTGCTGTTGGTGGTGTTGCCCAGGAATCTTCATCACCTCTGTTTTCTCTATGTTCACCTGAAGTCCTACCTTTGATGCTTCTTCTACCAACTTGTTGCTTTTCGCTTGCATGTCTTCCAGTTTGTGGGAAATCAGACATATATCATCGGTGAAGTCCAGATCCTCCAAGCTTTTTTATGTGGGTCCATTTTATGCCTGTTTCCCCATTCCCCGTTGTTTGTCGCATTATCCAATCTACTGCAATCATATATATATATATATGCACTCATATATGCACCCAAAATTAAACTCATAATTCATCCACTTTAAAGTGGAAAAATTTGGTTGGGAAATCCCTCCTGGACGATCTAATCACAACATTTACACTTGTTTTGGATGTTTCAACTACCTTTTTAATTATAATCGGTTTTCTTTTAGACTGTATATCATTGTCCTGACATTTTCACATCACGTGTTCGTTTTTTTCCTTATTGTTTGTCACTGTCCGTGTTTAATCTCCAATTTTAATGCTTCTCTGTGTGTGGCTGTGTACATTTATGGTGTGATTTTGTTTAAGTAAATGAAGGTCATTCTGATATTGGACTCTCTGTGGAAAACGTTGGTGTGTGACACTTGTGAACAGAGTTTATGATCCCATCTGTTTGGGAATATTCTATCTGATTCTAAGTACTTGTTTTGTACTTGTATGTCTGCCTAATGGTACTGTTAAGGTAATTTCGAGCCTTCGATGTTATTATTATTGAATATCACCATAGATCTTTTGAAGAATAATCATCTTTTTACCGCCTTTTGCGATGGTTCGTGACTGCATTTGTTGCTTAAGAAAGTGTTGTCAGCTATACAGTAAAACGCAGAGACTGGTTTCCTGAGCTCAGACCTCAAGGAGTTAGTTTTTGTGTAATAACACACTTATTGTACTCAATGTACAGATTTGTTTGTATCAATGTTTCTTCAGCTTACTGAAAATAAAATAATCGAGCAAAGAATATTCTTTTCGATAAATTCCTCTTCCAGGCTCTACAATTATATATATGTTTTCATACACAGAATATTTTAAATTAGTAGTTAATAACAATATTAGCGTTTTTTTTAAATAATATCGATTTGTAAAGTATGATCAATGCTATTGCAGTTAATTAAAGATGCTTAAATTATAATAATAATAAAGATATAACAGCGGATAGAATATCAACTAAAACTAGGGAAATTTCACAAAAATTCTGGATTATTCAAACCTGGATGGCCAAGGTAATGATAATGACTGGACTAACTTCTTCTGGGTGCATAAATTAGGCTTATTAATATGAATCCCCACAGCCTCAGCAATATTTAGAAGTCGAACTGAAAATACATGTTTGTCTGTGGGACTGTCACATAAAGACTGACATTGCAAATTTCCCAATAGTCTTTACTTAGATAAAGCTGTTAGCTAACAATGTATTGTATAATGAAAGTTCAGTAACCATAAATTGTTTGCAAAGTAGATTTCATGAAAAATCGAAATCATCTAGGGAATCAATGTTAATTGAAAAAGCACTGAATAGCTGTTTCGTCCTAGTTTGAAACTCTTCAGCACAATGGATGTATTTCTTTTCCATGGGTCGAACTTATGATCTTCAGATTACGAAGTGAACTTGTTGACCATTCAGTTGTGAGTTGTTACTTCCTTAAGTTTGTGATATAGTACCATCGTCATCCACTGGTACCGGTGTACATCTAATCTCACACTGTACAACGTGGAACTAATCGTTCACAGCTTCTTATCATTAGAAATTAAGTTTGTTCACCTAGAAGTCATTCACTACATTATTATTCATTCATGGAAAACCTAAATCTCAAAATATTGATTATATTAGAGGAATCTTTAGAAGTAACTTGTTCCCGAATTCCTCAAACGTAGTACTGAACTTACTCAGTCTCAAGCTAATAAGAGATTTTCTACTTAGGTGTAATAATAAGGGAAAAAGGCATGGTCCATCACAATTTTCAAGAGTCGGTCTGCAGGTATTTGTTTGATTTCAACATAGATGACGAAATGACAGTTAGAGAACCACTGGAAACTACGAAGTATGCGACAACTATCTCATCTTGGTTATAAACTCTTCGGTACTACTCACCCATCACTTATTGACGCACAGAACTCACGGCCTTCAGATAACAAGGTGACCTAGTCGGCCATTCAGCCATCGAGACAGAAGACAAAAGACCATGAATCCTAGTTTCCATCAGTTCTTGACTTCTGACAAAACCACCAGCCAATATCGTCGACAGGTATTTATTTTCACAGCTATTTAGGTGGACCTCTCTGTTTAAGACCTCTCACTAGAAATTCGGGCAACTTCTCCTTGTAGTCAGTCTTTATTGAGCAGATTAGATTAATTTTGAGGTGCTGGCTTTCAATGGTTCTTTAAACCACAATCCTTACAATTTATCTTTCACTAATATTTGCAAACTAAAAGATTTTCAACATAGATATGATTTAAGCTCTGAATGTGATATTGTTACGGATTGTCTTGGGGTTATCTCGCTGTCCATTGGACAGTATACTTAACATGATGACAGTCCTCTTCGA